AAGTACACAGAAGCACCTCGGGAGCCACCTCCACAACCTAGGGGGAGCCACGCCTCCTACTGATCTGGCACAGACTGCTCTCGGGCTTGGCGGCATTTCCTGCTCATCTAAATACTCAGTGGGCCTGAAGCCACCAAGGCTGCTCTCGGAGCTTTTGATTCCACTGTGTGGGCAGACAGCCTTTCTGGTCACCAGTCCCTAAAAGATCCCGTCTCTAGGTGTCACTGCCTTAGTAAGACTCAATTTCACTCTAAAGTCCAGCCTCAGGGCGTCCTGAGGTCTTAGAACCCCCTTAGGCAACCTCCAAGGAGCCCATCATGGTTCCCCAGGCATCTTGCAGGTACCTGACAACGATGTCTGTGAACTTAATCAACTGAATTATTTTTTTATCCTTACCTGAGGACATGCTTATTGATTTCACAGAGGAGGGAGGGAGGGAGAGGGAGAGAAACATCAATGTGAGAGTGCAATACTGATCGGTTGCCTCTTGTGTGCACGCCGACTGCGGACCAAACCCGCAACCCAGGCATGTGCCCTGACTGGGAATTGAACCCATGACCTTTCAGTTTACAGGATGACACTTCAATTGAGCCACATTGGCTAGGGTTGAACTGAAATTTTTATTAGTCGATTTCCCTCCACCAGGTGATAACTTTAATGACAAGTTTCTCGAAAACCAGCCAAAGAAGGCAAGTGAACAGCAGAACTGCGTCCAGGAGAGCTTTTATTTGTACGGAACAGTTTTAAAAATACAGAATAAAATAGCTTTATCTCTACTATTATTCACAACATCTGGTCCAAATATTACATATTTTTAAAATACTTAAACGTTTAATGAAGCCATGTTAGAAAAACAATATGAAAATTCTTTTTAAAAACTCCATAAAAGAATTACACATCTCAAAAAACAATCCCACCCAAAATACCCTCGGTATGCAAAATAAAAAAACAAACAAAATCCCAAAAAGGTACATAGCCAAAGTCAGTCACAAAAACTCAAGGAAAATATAGGCACCCCCACTGTTTTAAGAACAGTCATAAATTTATTAATGTGTCAAACAAAAGTTGCTGTGAACGAACAAAAAAAGGCTGTTAATTTGAACTGTCAGTGAGATGGCTACGCTGGTAAGGGGGTCCTAAACGCCAGGAAACACACAGCAATTCTAAGGACGCTGGAAGTTGCTTATGTAGAATGATGACGAGGCATAGTCAAGAACAACCTAGAAGGACAGGAATGTGTGTGAGGCTGCTGATAAGGTACCCCCAGCACTAATGTGCTTTCTGGGTCCGTGGGGCGGAAACTGAACGCTGGCAAAAATGGGTGGTCTTCTTGCACTGCTTGGGCTGTGACTTTAGGTGGGGTAGGAGGGTGGGGGGGCTGTCCTGTTCTCCGTGTCCAAGTCATAAGGGAACAGAGCACAACACATGCAGCATGAGAAAATCCAGGCCCTTCTCCAAAGCCAAGGAGCAACTTCCTGGAGACCTGGGCTCTGCCAATGCTCAGACATTCACACAACCATGGTGTCCAGGAGGTGTGACTGAGCACACAAAATGGGCATCTGGTGACAGTCATGCCAGGCCTGGCCTGCTGTTTGCAGCCGACCGCACTCCCCAAGCACAGTAGTCTGCAGGATACTGCCTCTCCTCGCGTCAGACAAGTTCCGGAATGAGCTTCCCGCCCCAGCTCCTCATTCACCTTCTATCTGGCCTGGGCACTCTTTGTGGCATCAATGTTAAGGAAGATTATACTTGCCAACTTCAAATCTAAGTTGCTAGTACCAATATTTCAGCAGGGACATGAATTAAAGTAATAACAACTTAGCTCATAGTCATAAAATATATGCATGGGTAAATAAAGTATACACACATACTAAAGATTCATCAATGGAGAAATTCTATCATCACATGACATTGTCATGAAAATTATATCATTCCCTCCCTGGAAAACTGTGACTATTATCCTGGGTAGAAATGTTATTTTACTATATGGAAATACTGCAATATTCATGCATAAACCAAGTTGTTATCATGAAAGTCAGTAATCTACAGTATAAAGTAAATCCTGTGTATGAATCTGCTACCATGAAAATGAGAAACCATCAGGACCCACAATGCTTCATTCTAGCTGACCTGGTTAAGCCACTTATCTTGTTCTGATCAAGCACAAGAAACTCACTACAAGTTAACATTTGACACCCTCGCAAGAAAGATTCAGTACCAATGAATCTTAAGCTTAATTTCCTAATGAGAATGAGAAAGAAAATTGCTTACAAAGACTGGAGCTACTTCCCATTATTCTGTGAACCATATTTGATATTTTTATCAAAACCGGTGGTGGGACCTCCATTACCCACCCCCTCTTCGATGTGGCAGCATCCACTGTTCTTACGGATACTTACTACTTACTTATCACATCAGGATGGCTCACGTAAAGGCGATGATGTGGGTAGGTTGTCACTGGAAATTGGAGACTAAATGCCCTGCCCAAGGACATTTACATATAAAATATTTTAAAACATTCTATTGGCCAAACAAAGCAAGCAAGTGTGTGGCCCCAGCAGGGCTGGCCACTAGCGCAAGTGTGAGGTTCACAAGGACAGACCATGCAAGGCCACTGCGCTCCCCAAACCTCCCCTGCAATTCATGTGCTTAAACCCAAGAAGCAGAATACATTTCCGTTCAATTAGGCTCATGCTGTTACATATTTGCTAGCAGAAGGACCTCTTCCTAAAATGGTTGGTGTGGCTGCAAGTGCAAGATTTATTAGTTAACCTGAGGCTCCAATCACTCAAACAAAGGTGAATTTCACAGGCTCTGCAGAAAGTACCAGACTCAATGGGGCCTCTAGTTAGGCTCCCCTCTTTCCTCCCCACCTCCTGTCCCCAACCCCGACTCCCTCCCTTGGACAGAGACGCTAAGTTGGCCCCAATGGAACAAGGAGGGCAAAAACCCTCTTTGCAACAGGTGACGTGGGTACAGCTCTTCCCTCCACACATGAATGCTTGCAGACATCCTCCGGACTGGCAGATTTGAAGCCTCCCAATAAAACCTAACCCAAGGAGGGGTTTCTGAAGTGAGTGGGTTTCTGGACACTTGAAGCACATACCCTGAGTGCTACCTACTGGGCAGAAGGTGTGCAGTCAAGTTAAGTTGAGGGGAACTTGTTTGTTTCTGAATTACTGATGGTTCAGATGCTTTTATTTGGGTATTTGGTCCTTCTGCTCACCTACAGAGCTAGAATACTGCAGATCTTTGGGATGTGTAATAGTCTTCCCCATTTTTCAAAGCTGAGAAATTGTAGATGCTGAGCAAAAATACAAATAGAAAGAACTGAGAGCAATTCAGAGGGCTGTCAGCCTCAAGGGCTTACCAAATTAAAAGGATGAAACTCATTACCCAGTGTGCTTCGAAAGAAACTAGCATCAAATACACTTCAAAAAAAGGTAACATACAAAATTAATACAATCTGAATTCTTTACTTAATCTGCAATAAGCTCTTGGCAAAACAATGAAGTGACTCTGAAGTGTTCTTGCCAGAACAAGCCTTGAAGCCCCAAACTTTCCAGGAGTCAAGGAGCTGCAGTGACACAACAACGCCGAAGACATCCCAGTGTGGGGAAGCGGAGGTGGCCTCGGAGGCGGGGAAGGTGCGCTGCGGACAGAGGCCGCTGAGAACCAGAACCACGTGCTGCTGTTGGGAGACAGCAACGCCCCCTGCCACCCAAGGCTCAGCCAGGCCATCGAGCACTTGGGAAGCATGGCCTCGCGAAGCAAGGTCACTACTTTATGCCTCAATGTTTTCCTTTGGCTGAAAAACTTCAAACCAAATTCAACAGAAGTCTTTTTATTTTTCCCCCAGAAAGAATTTAGTGTTATTTAATCAGAACTCAACACAGGGACATGCTGGCTGCCTTTCTCACCACCATCTTCTGCAATAACTTAAGTGAGAACAGCAGCATTTGGCCAGGGGGTCTAATCTTCCCCTCTGCAAAATCAAGACCCAGTGGACATGCAACACGGCAACCCACAGACAGTCTCCTTAAGCCTTAATTGCCAGAAATGACTTGTAACAGAATTGCAGTGATGAATGTGCCAGCGTGCCTGACCACTCAATTAAGGAAGCTGTTTGTTACCTGCCCCGGCTTCCCTTCTTCACAAAACAAATTCATGTGTAACATAACCCACTGTTTCTGGGCTCTGGTCCAGTAGTCAGTTTTGATAAATAGATTAAGCATTACAGTATTTACACTTTCATGGTATCAAGCAATACAAAACACAACCACAACAATGGTTACTGGCCTTCAAAAGCCATGACAACAAGCTTCCCTGATGGTGTCCACAGCTTTACAAATGCTGGTTCTTTCTTTAACTGGAAGGGAGTGGGTGGGACACAAGTAATAAGGATGCAAGGTAAGAGGGTCACGTGGAAATACACTAATTTCAAAAATCTGCTATAGTCAGTAATGTTAAATAGGAATAAAATCTTGTATTTATATACACATGACAAAAACTGACATCCACGTGACAAGAGAGTCAAGACTCCCATAAACATCTGGCTGGTGCCCCTGCGAGGCACTCTATACCCGTCACACCACCAGGAGTGAGAAGTGCCAGATAGAGTGTCTCAGCTACTAGTGAAAAAGAGGCCAGTGTGCAATGTGCTGGCCCAGCCTGGGCCAGGGTGGCACCGAGACAGAGCAGCTGAGAATCAGATACTGCCTTCCAGGTACTTTCCCTTCCCCTGCAACCCCCTAGACAAATTTCCATTCTGATCCTCTGCGCACAGACCTTACCCACGCACAGATCAGGCCGGAGGGCAGCCATGCCACTGTTCTCAATCAGGTCAACAGCCTCCTCCTATACATGAGTATCAGGGAACACAGAATCACATTTGACCAGTTGTGACAATGCGAGGACACTGGTGCCCCTTGACCACAGAAGGTCTCTGAGGTTCAGGCCAAGATCAAATCAAAAAAAAAAAAAAAAAATTTTTTTTTAATCTATAAAAAACCAAGCAGGTCCAGGTGCTTCCAGGACAGAAAGCCCCCAGTCCCTGGAGGTGGCTTGTAAGAAAGCTAGCACGGAGTGGGGCAAGGGGGACTGAAAACAAAGAATCGCTGTGGATTTCAAACATCTACTCCCACCGGAGGACAGGAACTTCAAGTTCAGTGACCACAGCCAGCAGTGGACGCTCTCAAGGGCAAGGGGTCAGGGCTTAAATAAGGAGATAGGTGAGACACCATATTAGACACAATCACCACCCACAACAAAAAAAGCTATTTGCAATCTGTCTTAGCTCTGGGGTGCAGAATGTAAATGCAGATATACAAACATATATGTTACTGCTTGTTACTCAGCAAGGAACTACAGACTCATGCCTCACTGCGGCCAAGCCACAGGGCAAGCTACAGCTATACCGTGGCCTGTGAGTCCTCGTCTGAACTCCGGCTGTTTGCGCTCTTCCCAAGGCCTTTCCATGTGTAGCCCACAAAGGTTGGGCTGATGGGTAAGTAGCTGAAGCATCTGTACTTTTTAATAATGTTCATGCCAAACGGCAAATCGTAGGATTCCATGCCATCGAGCGACTTGCTCCCTTTGCCCACTCCCTTCTTCCATTTCCGGATTCCTCTTTCCTCTGGAGTCCCTATGGAAGACACACAGATCAAAACAAAACAATGGAATGTTTAGTTTAACAGTTCTACCAAGAACTGAGAGTCCAACAGGCTGTCCCATAGGTGGAACCAGCCGGTAATACAGCGAAGCACACTTGATGGCACTTCAGCCATCCAGGCGCCTGGGCAAGAAATCTAAGAATCGTTAACCCATCTTTGTTCCTTTTGCTCCACATTTAAATGATCTCCTGATGCCTTTGCCTCCTCCCTGTCCTTCCACAGGATGCATAGTCCTAATTTTTATTGTTGAGGTCTGGCCCAGGCCATGTCATTGCTTTCCATGGTCATTATATCAGTTTCTTAACTGGCTGTCAAGTCTTCCGTCTCACCACCCCTACCCCAAATCTGTTCTCAACACTGTACAAACAACAACAACAAAACCTGCTCTCTAAAGTGCAAATCTGATCGTGCAAAATGGGGCCCAGACTACTTGTTATACCATATACAATGCCGTCATCAACTGGTTTTGGCAAACCACCCCCGCCAAACCAGACATACCAAGTTTTATCTCTAATTTAGTGTGTGTGTTGTGTGAGTGTATTGCACTTGTCATGTATTCCCCACGTGCTATGCTCCCGTGAGGATGAACCTCCACTGGTGTAACACTGTGCTACTCTGTACCCTGACAGATAAGTCAGGGATAAAGATCTCTCAGCAACTCCTGGACTTTTTTCACAAATCTTCCTGGTGCAGGCATGAGCACTGGCACCCAACCGTAGCTGCAATAGGACACCTAATAATATACTTCTGTGCCTGAGCCTGGGTGATGAGCTTGAGTCTACGGTGCAATATTTAAGATCCTCATTATCTCTTCACGTCTAAGCTAAGACTTCCACCCCGCCCCCTGACACTGGTGTTTCAGTAACACAGCTAACTTGAACTTCCATCTCTCGAACTCCTATGCCTCTCCTTCAATTAGTTCTGACTTAAGAGAAAAAGAGGGTATTAGTTATTGACCCCCATAAATCGAACACCTTCCACTTATTTGTGCTGTCATTCCTTCTACCAGAAGTGTTCATCCCCGGTTTCCCCAGCAACCTCTTGATTGGGAGAGGAAAATCTCAATAAAACCTTCAAGCACAATAGGAAGCATCACCCTTCCTTGATGGGAGATGAATCTACCAGTGTATCTGTGGTATTCAACAGAGGTACACAGCAGCCTCCTGTGGGAAGCCGGGAAGGCGAAAAGGCAAAGCCCACAACACATCCTACTCCGTCACCCAGCACTTGGCATTACCTAGCTGAGAAATAAGAGTTATGGGTGTTGGAGAAGTGCTGCCTCCTCCCCTTGCTCACCCACTGATCCCGGAGCCCGTGCCCACCATGCTCCCTGGCGTTCAGTTTTAGCTGGCGGCTGCCTTAGGAAGGACTCATTTAAAAGACAGGCTCCCTAAGCAGGAGCCGTGCCAGAGGCTATTACTAGCTGGCTCAGAGAGGCTGTGAACAAGTCAGTGGAACCAAACTGCAGGGCACTGGGCAAGGCTGTGCAAGGAGAGGAGGGAGGCTGGCATGTGCCCAAGGCACCCCACTGCCATTCCACCCTATGCAAGGTATTTGCCTGCTTTCTCTGAAAAGTAACTCAGCAAGAGAAAAACCACCCAGTAAGTTTATTAGCAAAAAACTGATTCATAAAAGAAAGCTAGAAGTGTCATCTTAATCATTTTAGAAAAGACAAGTTTTAACCAGTGATGACTATGAACTGACTCACTCTTATTCCTTCTTATTTGGCAGAAAAGTAACACATAAGCAATAAGCACGTGTGATATATAAAACATACCTGGAATGGTGTTATCCAAAATAAAAGCCACACAGCCTCCTACAAACATTGCAGTTGTGAGAAGAACGTTCAACACTTGATCAATTCCTGTTATCCCTAAAAACAGAACATAGCGATAGGGTCACTGCCAGCCTGGACAGGCCTGCCCTTGCCTTGGGAAGGGGCGCTGGGGTGGGCACTAAATGCCAGTCAACGCAGTGCATGCAAGTGTACATTCCTGTGGTGAATGTGTAGTAATCATTTAAACTAGAATGAATACCCAATAAAGTCAAATTCCTAACAATGGTGCATAGACAATAAATCTAATAAAGTCACCTATAATAAAATATGAAGCCATTAAGGAATGTTGTTTGCAGATAAAGAGAAATTAATATAAAAGATGACTGTAAGGCAGAAAAAACTACAAAGTGACTATGAAGACAACAAAAATACTTGCAGTATCTGCAAACAAAAGTTTTCAGAATCCTGAGTTACTAATTTGTGCTTAGCTTTTAATTACAAACAACAGAATTTATAAAAATGTCTTCACATGAATGTGATATACAAAAATGTCAAAAGCACCAAGAATCTCCTTGCTATTAGAGAAGTTCACATACATTCTCTATTTAAAACCTATAAACCAGCAACTTTGCTCCCAGGCATATATCCACCCCCCCAAAAAAGTTACTCAACCAATACAGTCAATCCTCATTACTGGCAAATTCTGGATCTGTAAATTTGCCTATACACTAAAACTTATTTGTAAACCCACAAGTGAATACTCATGGTGCTCTCAGTCATTCAGGGACATGCACCGAGCAGTGAAAAACCTGAGTCAGCCAACACGCATGTTCCCAGCTGAGGTCAAACAAGATGACACTCTGCCTTCTTGTTTCAGCTCATACTGTAAACAAGTGTTCTTTTAGCAGTCTATTCAGTATCACTTTTTTCGCATTTCTGTGCCTTTTTCCTTGGTGATTTCACTGATTGAAATGGCCCCCACGTGTGGTGCTGAAGGGCTGTCAAGTGCTCCTCAATGCAATAAGGCCGTGATGTGCCTCATGGAGAAGACACGTCTTAGAGGAGCTTCGTCCAGGCATCAGCTGTGGTGCTGGCGGCCGTCTTCCCCCAGGAGCAACGGGCCAGGAACGTGACTACCGCGAATGAAAACTGATTGTACTGAATGTGTAAACTGTAATTTAAAAATAAATTTAAAGAAAAATTGTACCGCACATCAATTTTCATAATAGAAGAAAATTGATAGAAAAAGGCTAAAAGAATATACCTCCACCAAACCAGCATTGCAAGATATGCTAAAGGGACTGCTTTAAGAAGATGAAGAAAAATAGTCTAAGAATACCCAGTTCCTTTCACAGTTACCAATACTTAATATTACCAATATTTTTAATACTTATTAATCTGATTATGACACTGATGTATTAATTGTTACTTTATTGTTGGTTGAAACTAAACCTGTTTTTATATATTTCTTGCCTATTTCTATTATTTTTTTAAAAAAGCTTTAAGTGACTTTTTGGTATTCTTTATTCATTTTTTATTTTTTAATTAAATACTTGTAGAATTTTTCTCTAAAAAGCCCTATTAACTTTTTTGTAGACATGTTGCAGATATTTTCCTATTCTATTACTTGTCCTTTAACTTTTTTATAAGTATATTACTGTATAGTCTTAAATGTTTAATATAGTCATATTATCAATATTTTACTTTCTAGCTTCTGGGTTTGAATATTTTACTTTAGGGTAAGAAAAATATTATTTTGTATTTTCTCCTAAAACTCCTTAGATTTTACATATTGATTTTTAACTCACCTGAATATTTTTTGTATAATATGTGAAATAGGGCTCTATATTTCTTTTATTTCAAGTGACAGTGGTCCATGCACTTTATTTGCTGAATAAGCCTTATTTTCGCCATTGATTTGAAATATCTACTTAATCATTTATTACATTGTTAGATATACTTTTGTTTCTAGAATGCTCATTTTATTTCATTGATCTACTTGATTATTTCTGTGCTGATGTCATACTCATCAAAATAAGCTTCTGCACAGCTAAAAAAAATGTCAGCAAAATGAAAAGTGAACAGACTGTATGGGAATATGTATTTGCCAATGAAACTTCAGACAAGGGTTTGATCTATAAAATATAGAGAGAGCTCACACAGCTCCACTCCAGGAAGACAAACAATTCAATTAAAAAATGGGCAAAGGACCTGAACATACACTTCTCCAACGAGGACATACACAGGGCCCAGAGACATAAGAAAGTATGCACAGCATCACTAGTCATCAGAGAAATGCAAATTAAAACCACAATGAGATACCACTTCACATCAGTCAGAATGGCCATCATAAACAAATCAACAAACAAGTGCTGGCAAGGATGTGGAGAAAAGGGAACCCTAGTACACCACTGGTGGGAATGCAGACTGGTGCAGCCACTGTGGGAAACAGTTTGGAATTTCCTCAAAAAGCTAAAAATGGAACTGCCTTTTGACCCAGTGATTACACTGCTGGGATTATACCCTAAGAATCCTGAAAAACCAATTCAAAAGAATCTATGCACCCCAATGTTCATAGCACAACATACAACAGCGAAGTGCTGGAAGCAACTCAAGTGCCCATCAATAAATGAGTGGATCAAAAAACTATGGTACATTTACACAATGGAATACTAAACAGCAGGAAGAAAGAGCAAGCTACTACCCTTTGTGAAAGCATGGATGGAACTGGAGAGCATCATAAGCGAAATAAACCAGGCAGTGAAAGACAAATACAATGTGATCTCACCTATAAGTGGAACCTAATCAACAAAACAAACAAGCAAGAAAAATATAACCAGCAACACTGAAATAAAAAACAAACTGACAGAAATAAGAGTGAAGGAGGTAGGGGGGTAATGGGGAAAAGAAGGGGAAGGGTCAAATCAAGGGACATGTGTAAAGGACTCATGGACAAAGCCAAAGTGAGGAAGGATTGAGGGTGGGAGGTGGGGGTGGATGGGACAGGGGCAAGTGGTGGTTGGAAAATGGAGACAAATATATTTGAATAATTAACAAAAAATTTAAAGAAAAACTGATTGTGCTGCACATCAATTTTCATAATAGCACCAGACAGTTAAAAAGGTGCCAACAACTTGTATGTCCATCAATGAATAAATGGAAAAACAGATTTGGTATATACATATAATAGAATATTACTTAGCTATAAAAAGGAAATACTTATACATGCTATATCATGGATGAATCTTGTAAACATTACACTAAGTGAAAGAAGCCAGACACAAAAAGTCACACATTACGGGATTCTGGTTATATGAAATATACAGAATAGCTAAATTCATAAAAACAGAAAGCAGACTGGTGGATGCCAGGGTTAGGAGAAGAGGAACAATAGGGAATAACTTCTTAATGCTCATGGAGTTTATTTTTGGGTGATGAGATTGTTAAAAACTAGATGTGAGGTAGTGGTTACAACACATTGTGAAAGTACTAAAATGCCACTGAATTTTAAAATGGTGAATTTTATATTATGTGCATTTCACCTAAAAAAATGGCCCCCAATTCTACATAAATGTTGGCAGCAATAGCTATTTCTTAAGATGGTTCCCCTTTATTCACTCTTCATGACATTGGGAAATTAAAATTAAAAGAGGGGGTCTGAAAGGTTAGTCTTGAATTCTAAGTAGTTATAATCCCTGTATTTCAAAGTCTATAGAGTATTTCAAAGTCTATAGAGTTTCAAGGAGTTATACCTTCTAATACAGGGAAATCATATGGTTTTACAATGGTTTAGAGGCATTCTCCCAGAGGAGAAGGTCCCGGTGTGAGAGGAGAGGGAGACCTTAACACGCACATTAGTTACATACTCACCCCAGCTCATGTGGGAAGCGCAAAGGGCTTCCAGATAAACTGCAGCAGAGTGAGATTCAAATGAAATACACAGATGAGCATTTGCCAAGACAATCCCTGGCCCTGGAGTTCCAAATCCTCTCTGACTGGTGATGTGCTGTTTGGAAATTGGTGGCTATGGTTCTAACTATCCCCCGAGATTCAAGGCCCATGTTCCCTACCTGTGACAAGAGGGTTCTGTCGGAGGTAACTTGGAAGAACGAGCCCAAAGAAGATCGAAAATCCAAGCACGAAGAGGTTCCGGGAAGAATTTAAATCAATGAACTGCAGGTTAGAGAGTCCAACAGCTGTGATCATTCCTGGGGAGAAAACACCAGACAGCAAGTTCCAGTAACTCACAGGGATGAGCTCATCGATGACAGGTGACTCACAGTGGACGAAGGCAGCCCCCCTGCAGTGTCCTTCTCTATCCCATCAGAAATAAGTCAGGAGACCAGCGCAGTGATAGGAAGGGGGTGGGGGGGCCGGGGCGGGGGGGGGGGGGCGCGCTCGCACGCAGCACGAGGGTGTCCTGAGGGGACCACCTGGGCAGTTGGGCTTATTCAGGGACATAAGCATCACACTGTTGATTGGCTTTCTTTAGACCAGGCAAAAACCTAAGGATATTAGTTCCTCCTTGAAGCCTCTAGGCAAACATTTCTGCTAAACTGGGAAATCTACCTAAATATCTGGTCCCTGATTACAACAACTAAATGGCACAGAGACCAAATAGAGTCCCATTGTAAAAATGGTCTGTTTTTCAGAAGGTAATATTCAGAAGGTAAGATAGGTTGAGTTAAATCAGTTAAAAACCAGTTAAATAGATTACATTTCATCTTATTTTCCCCACACCAAATATTTTACTTTTGGTTGTACCTTGAACATAAATTCAACTCAATGATGTAGGGTTTTATGTTTTGAAGGCCTATCCTTTTGCATTTTAAAATACAAATTGTTTCCTCCAACCTTACTGAAGAGATTTAGCACAAAAACTATAATCCCTATGAAAAATTAGCAAATGGGAAGAAACAAAAGGAGCCTGAAAGGAAAATGGAATTTTACCAAAGAGAGTACAGAAGAGCGCTCCAAGCACAGGATCCGGAAGGGAGGCGAAGAGGGCACTGAACTTCCCGACCGTGCCCAAGGCGAGCATGAGGGCGGCCCCGTACTGTATCACCCGGCGACTGCCGACCTGCAGGACACACCAGAGGCAGAGACCGGGGTTCAGTTCGACACGAATGCTCCAGGCCCCTTGGGGCAAATGTGACAAAACCCTCATTCAAAATCTAGATTACTTGTAAAATTTTTAGTTAAGAAGAATCAGTCTAATTTCATAATGAGGACTGATCTCAATGCACAATTACTATAAATTACTCTAAAGCACCCAGAGTAGAAAGATTCCCATCACCTTTCTCATTCCCCTTGGTCCCCTTCTCCCCCACTTGACTTGGGGGGAAAACGGGGCATGGCCAGGACTCAATCTTTGTTTCTCTGAACCCTGGATGCTGCCACCTCAGTGCGGACCTGCTCCTGCACTCAGGTCCTGGGTTTCTAATGCCCGCAGTCACCAGCTGGGATGACCTTCTAGTGTCTCAAATGCAAAATGCAAAAGCTACCTTTTGCATCTGTTTCTCTTCTGGGTTTCTGGCATTACCTTGCACTTACCAACTTAACTCACCCCAAAGCACTTCAGCCTCAGTAACTCCATCTTCCCTGTACCCCATTCAGACAAAACCCCCAAATGTTTCTGGAACCTCCTCTCCTCACGGTATCTTTCCTGTTAGAGGTGGCACAGCTTAAAAGACAAGATGCAGAATTCTCGGGCCCTGATGCCTGGCTGGCATCTGCATGCCACCTCTACTCATGAGACCTGGCCAGCTACTTAACCTGTCTGAGTTGCAGGATCTCCATCCTTATAACTCTAAACCTTGTAGTTTTGCTTTAAGTATTAAATAAGATGTATAAAATAGTTTGCATAGCACCTGGCAAGCATCAGGCTATTTGTTAGCTTCCCAGCTGGGCCTGCTGCCTCTGGCCTTTCCTTGGTCCATGTATCCTGTGGCAGAAGGGCTGTTCTAACATACTGATTTGGGAGGTCAGTCCCCTACATAAGTCCCCTGCTGCTCGTGAATTAAAACATACTTCTCGGGCTCTTCCCAAGGGAGCCAAGCTCACTGGTGAGCTCCCTGCCCTGCCCCGCCCCCGTCTTGCTGCCTGTCCCTCAGGGTACCAGGCAGACCCAGACCTGTCTGTCTGAAACACCCTTTTCCACATCCCCCTTCTGGCTGGTTCCCAGACACATCCCTCAAAATACTACCCAAATGCAACCTCCTCTGCAAAGCCTTCCTTGACTCCGGCTGCGTTCCTGTCCCCCGCTCCACCGCCCCACTCTGGGCTTCGGCAGCACCACTCATCACTTCAATGTGGTCTCAACGTTTTCTGTTAAACCTGACCTGCCTTCTAGAAGCTTCCATCTAGCCCACGGCACCCAGTTACTGGGAGGTGAAGCTGGCACTGGGTTCAAGAATCCTGCATTCTGGCTACTACTTTGTGCTGCCTTTCCCAGGAAAACACCCAGAGAACATCAAAGAGGTTCCAGAATGTCTGGGAGAGTGTCCACAGGGCTTTACGTATGACTTTCAGGGGGGAGAGGATGACTACTTACACTTAAGTTAATTAAAGTGAAATGAAATTTAAGATCAGTCCCTTGGTTGCACTCGTCTCATTACAAGTGCTCTGCAGGCACCTGTGGCTGGTGGCTCCCACGTGAGACTGCACAAGTACCACCACTGCACAGTGTTCTACTGGACACGACTGGTCTAGAGCATCCTTTCAACAGCTTCTCTAGGGACCCAAGGATGAGTTGATTAGGAACCACAGTCAAATCTCACTGTGCAGATTGCCACCCGGCTAGACAGGGTAAGGTGCAGATCTGCCGCCTTAGCCTGGTGCCCAGGCTCTACTGCTTCCATCCATGGCTCCTCCCACATAGCACCAAGGGCAGGGAAGCAGTGAACAGGGCCAGGAAACTGCCAGATCCAGTAAAAATGGACTATGCTTGGCTGTATTATGTGATAAGGAAGACTTTCATTTAAAAATGGCTCATTTTTAGCAAACATTTGTAAGGACCTACTATGTGACTAGCACTTATTAGACTGGGGCGTGGGAAGCAGATGCAAAGATGAATAAGTCACAAGCTTATGATGAAATTCTTGTGCTTTTGAGATTGTTACTCTGTATAGGAGCTCAGTGGGAAGGAAAACTGAAGAGCTCAGGAGGGGTCCCGGAAGCGGTCTTGAGGAACGACTAAGGGTTCATAGGAGGAAGAGCACACAGTCACAGGGAGCCCCCTGTACAAAGACCGCCTGCCAGCAGGGCCAGGCAGCCCTGTTAGGTGTGCAGCCGGAGGGCCGGCAGTCCCCAGGGGTGCCTGAAACAATAAACCCTGCATGAAAACCAGGTTCGGGAGGCTGATCTGCCTTTGATGCTGCAAAAAAAGAAAAAAAAAAAAAAAACAAGAAAAAAAACACAAGCAGCAATGAGGCCATTCTTGTGTTCAACAAATACTAACTGAGTGCCTATGATATACAGCTCCAAACACAGCTCTAAAAAGCCTGCCTTCCAGTGCAGACATGGAGCCTTTGTGTCTCCTTTCCCGCTGCCCCCTTCCCTACTGACCTCCTTTTCTGAACTTTGGCTCTGCTTCTAGGGCCATCATTTCCAAAGGCTTTCAACAGTGTGGAATGCAGCAGAGAAGACAGGACCTTCCTCTGGACACCACCATTGAGATACTACAGGCAGGGACATGGTGCTTACTGTCTATAGAGATAAACTTACAGCTAAATATTGAGGAATAGGATTAAGGGCTAAAATGCAGTCACTACAGTGACCTGCTAAATTACCAAAATCAAGCTGGTTGAGGCAAGAGGAAATGATTCTATTCTTGTTCTAATTAGCCTGGGAACTTTTTGAACTTTTCAGTCCGGCGTCAATGCCTGGATATACATCTGGACATATAGCAGACCTCCAGATAACCCTCTGATTACCCCCTGAAGGACTCGTATTCAGACCACCTGACATCCATTATCCCGATCGTCAGGTGTGACTACACCTTCTGGTACCTATCTTTCTGACCTCTGGACATCTGACTGATAACCGTCTTGGACCAATCGTGGGGCTAAGAATACAGGACTGACAATTCCCAAGACTGTACTTTTTACTGTAAGAACTCTTAACTTTCCTGTCTTCTTCAGAAAGCTTCTGGGTTTTGTTTAGCTGTATCCCCATTTTGCAAACTTTAAGTCCCCTGAATAAATCTTTATCATTTATTTCTAGCCAAAGCCTCCAAACTCTTTTCCAGTTCATTCAACAATATCATATGAAGATGACAGCCACAGCTTACTGGGTACCCCCTACATGCTGGACTCTGCTAAGTGCCTCACATCAAGTTAGTAATCCCAATGTCTTGTATGCTCTCTTGTTGACAAGGGCATGGAGACTCAGAGAGATGATGTCACATTGGGAAAAAGTGATGGAGCCAGGGCTGTAACCCAAAGCGGTCACTTCCCCCATGTCTGTCCCTCTCTGTGGGACAGACATTGGTACACACTCAGCAGAGAAGTCCTGCACGTGCAGTCTGACCCCTTAGAACTTCAAAACACAACAGGGTAAGCAGCCTCAGCTACTGATTAAGAGTTTAGAATTTCCATGGATGTAGAGTGCCATAACTGGATACAGAATAGCAAATATTAGAATGGTTAGGAAATGTGAGGCAGATTCTTTGGAAGAGCCATAGATCACCCGCTCTCCACGTGCCCTGGAATTCTGATACAATGGCCCAGACCAGAGCCATTAGACTGGATTTTCTGCACTGATGAGAACATCCCATATATGTGCTGTTCTATGGCAGCCACTAGCCACAAGTGACCACTGAGATCCTGAAATGTGGCTAGTGTGACTGAGGAATTTTTCGTTTTAACTAATTTAAACTTACATAGTCACATGTGGCTACCGACTACCATATTGGGCAGTACAGATCTACCTCTAGAATTGTCAGATTTCAGACCTCAGTTCTATTCAGAAAAGCTACCTGCCCCACATCCTTCGGCTGGACGAGGCAGAACACAGCCCATAACTCATGCCTCCTTTCTTCTGGACAGAGTCTCCCACCAGCTGCATGGCCCAGGCCACAGAGAAATTTCTGCTGCAAGTCCCACCTCCCCACCCAAGGCAGCTGTGTAGATGGCTGTATTATATCATCTACACAAGGCAATGAAAACTGATTTCAGGGATGACAATGTCCCCGAAAGGATACAGCCTTTGCCTGGGGAAAGGGATCCAAAGGGATTCAAACAAAAAATCAATTTAGCTCATTGGAAAGCACTGGCCGGTTGCCTTTCAGAATAAGCTGGTACCATTCAAACTGTAATAAAGATAATTATTCCCCAGACCATCTCAGTTCTGTTTTAGAAGGCAACCTCAATGAGCAGCACCACTTACTGCCTACAGTGGCTCTGCTCCTGGTGTGTTCCAAAGGGGTTCAGAGAGGGACCCAGCTTATTAAACTCTCTTCCCCTCAGAGTCCCTCCATCTACAACAATTTTACGTTGATGTTATTATTTCAGATTAGTTGAATGCCCACAGGTTCACACAGCACACTGTTGAAGAGTGAGAGGCTTATGGCCCACTCTGTGTTGCTCAGCATCCGGTTCTCACCACGGGCAGCAACGGGACGCAAGGGGCCGGAGGCACTGCCCATCAGGCAGCCCTCACATACCCTGTGCCAGTAGTAACAGGCAGCAGGTGGAGCCATCTGCACACACGAGGCTGAGCTCTGTGCTGGCACCGACAACTGATAGGAAAACCAACTTTAGGCATGCGCTGTGTGTGCCCTGCTTCTTCTCACCTGGATTTACAGCAAAGATTAACCAAACTTAGTGTTTGGTTTCTTCTTATCTGGCTATAGAATCTAAGAGAGCTGGGGGAGGGTTTCTAATTTCACAGAGGTGAAACAGTTCTAGAAGGCTCCAGCTTACACCCAAGATCTCAGAACACAGGGCTCAGGTGAGGGAGACCTGTGACCCATGGAGGCTGTCCAGGATGGTGAGCCCAGTCTAATAGTCTCTACCTGCACGGTATACAAAGGCCAGGGGCTGAGCTGCGTTACTGAAACCCTGGCAAACAGCAAGCTTTGGCCTAGGCCAGCGATTTTCATTCAACCAGTGTGCCGGAAGTATTTTTTAAAACATGCAATACTTAATTATATTGTCAGAGGCACTGACCTCTATTCCCTTAGGTTGTCAAATTAAAAAATGACAACAGCAAACACAACAATAGCCATCTGGTGAATCAAAATTATGCCTGGCTTTTTTCGGGGGGGGGGGGGGGGGGTTCAGATTGGTGAAATACATTTTTTTGTGTGTTGCAGAATTTTAGTAATTAGTTTATGTGTGCCACAAGATGAAAAAGGTTGAAAATTGCTGCCCTAAATGATTGGGATATAAAGGTTACGTGTTAGTAATAAATTTGAAAGGCCTAGAAGCAAGCGCCTTCTTACAGAGGCTGAAATGTGAGGTGGGGCAGCCCCGGGGTCACATGTCTGTCTTTGAACGTGGGTGAGGAGAGGAGGTAACGGGTCAGGCCCTGTTCAACCTGAGTGACTTGCATCGCTGATCTAATCCACTCACTTTACAACTGATATGTAAAAAAGAAGGGTTCTGCTGCTATGGTTTGAAAACCATGTTAATTCTTTACTGAAAGATCACACTTTTTTTCTGTAACAGGTGGTATCATCTCTCATCTAGAACTAATGCCATCTCCTTGCGGGTCTTCTGTTTCCTCCTCCCCCACCTGCCAGGGTCTACTCTCATTATAGCAGCCAAAGTCATCCTTAAAACTAAAGCAAAACCAAACCAGATCAAACAGTCTCCTCCTGGGGCAGCCCCCTCCACTCAGTCTCTGGCTGCCCCCAGGGCCTGTGACCTGGTCTGCCGTTACCTAGAGGACTTCATCTGCTCTCACCTGCCCCCCACTGGCCTCCTTGCTGATCTACGACATGCCAGCCTGCTACCATGATAGGGCTTTGCACTGGCAGCCCCCGCGCCCGAATGCCCACTCCCTAGGCAATCTGCGTTGCTCCCTCCCTCGACTCCTTCCGACCTTGGCCCTAGGACATCTTCTCAGCTGGACTTAGCCTGGCCACCTCATTCAACACTCACCCTTCACTCCCCACCTCCCATCTCTGCCCCGTGTTTCTGCCATATTTAAAATGCTTACTGCTTATTATTTGTCTTCCCTGGCTAGAATGTAAACTCCACAGTGATGGGGATATTTTTCTTTTTTATGCACTGATGTATCGCAAGCGCCTGAAACAGCAGGCTGGCATATGGTCAGGGTGCCTAATAAAACTGTAGAATGCAGGAAGGAACCCTAGCACCAGAATGCCTGCCTCCCTAGGCCCCTCAAGGGGGCAGAGACCTCCACCAGCACTCCGGACACCCATCGACAAAAAAAAAGTCATTGAGGGAGAAAATGATCTCAGAATTGAAGGCCTTCCTTGTGGAACTCAGGTGGTCAGACCAATTAATGAAATGGATCAACGCTTAGCGGCCCAACCATTTAATTAGAAAAATGTTTGTACCTTCGTAATTCCCAAAACTCCAATGTTGGGACTGGATGAAGTAGAGCCATTCCCAGTACCAAATATGCCATCGAGAACACAGGAGAGACCCTCCACGAAAATCCCCCTAAAATGTAAAGGAATGGGGCAAAAAGAACATTCATTCAATGGGGCAACACTCTAAAATATGCTCTAAATGGTTGTGGCCCAAAGGCCTGGTCCACAGATCTGTAACCGCCACACGCCTTGGGCGGGGTCAGCAACGCAGAGTCGCAGGCCCCACTCCAGACCTCCGCGCTCCTTCAACTTTGAAAAGCACCTCTGCGAACCACGCATGGGCACAGTTTTTAAATGGCACTCCAAATTAAAGGATGTAAGCCAGAAACACAGAGCCATTTGTTGGGATCTAGGACAAACATGGACTGTCTAATGATTTGATTCCTTTGCTATTAATATACAGTTTCATCACGAAGGACATGCTTTGTAATTCTGTAAACGCTGACACTTTTTACAAAGAATCAACATACATGTAATTTAATCATGTGCAACAGCTCAACTGAAGAAAGATATAAAACCTTGACTATAAACCTTAACAGAACCAATGCAAGAAATGCTAAGAAACCAGTCCATTGGATCTCATCACGTGCAGTTCCTTTTGGAGGGGCAGCAGCTGGGTGGGAATGAGGTCGTGGGAGTGATCTGGATAATTTTATCTTCTCTGCAGACTCCACAGAGTACAATTCACTCCTGGCATCCAGAAACTAAAGACCAGGTGTGCTGGGAACCTAAACACCACAGTTTAATACCTCTAGATCCTACAGATTTCATTTATGCCTGCCTTTACCTCTCTATTTATATAAATTACACTTGTGAATAGATGACACAGCATCTACCCCTTAGAACAGTTGGGGAAACAAGAATAAAGGGGATGGCCCTAACAGGTGTGGCTCAGTTGGTAGGGTGTCATCCTGCAAGGAGAAGGATTGCTGGTTCGATCCCCAGTTGGGGCACGTGCCGGGGTGGCAGGTTCAATCCCCAGTCGAGGCACGTGCAAGAGGCAACTGAGCGATATTTCTCTCTCACATTGATGTTTCTCTCCCGCTCTTTCTCCCTCCTTCCCCTCTCTCTAAAAATAAATAAAATCTTAAAAAGATAATATAAGTAAAGGGGACATACATCCATGACCCCAAACCAAGCAAAAAACAACAGCAGTGTCTGGTATGTGTTTTGGTGAGTTTAAGGTCTTAGAGTGGCCTCAAAGAATGTCTTCTGTGACTGTCACTGTGAGAAAGAAAGGGTGAGAAATTCTGCTTGGTGTTACAAATGAGCAAAATGCGGACAGTGACTTGTCCAAAGACAAATGGCCAATGAAGAGCTCTGATGCGTGGCTGCCTCCGGGCTGAAACTCCGTTTCTTCTCCAAGATCACACACACCAGAGCAAAGTAATAAGGTGCTGGGCCCGATGGAAAACTGGCTATCTCAGGAACGTACCTGTTTATTGCATGGATGGGAGGCGGTGGTGCACAGGACAGCCTTGCACAGGCGTAGTAGTCTCCGATAGACTCGATAATACTGGCGACAACAGCACTGAGCATGCCAATGACACCAGCTGCAGAGATGGTGGGCAGTCCCCACTGAACTACAGAAGGATGACAAAGGTGAAATCATCACTTTCTTAGAGGGGCAGGCAAAAGTTTCTATACACCAAGTCATTCAGAATGTCTGAGGACTTTTCAAGATCAACTCCGATTTTAAAGCTCATGGATACTTTATTTTAAACCTTCATCACCAATGGCGAGATGCCTAGAAATGGTTCCTCAGTCAGATGAAAATAGCTATAACCAGGACTTGTCTGCTCTACGTCCTAATTTAAAAGAAACTGCATGCCAGAAAGAGGCTGGTCTTTCTCTTCCTGCTTCAAAGCCAGTGTCTAAATTACAATTTACACAGCCTGCTATGTCGAGATAGAAATTTGTATGAGGATTTTTACCCTACAGTGCAAAGTGTGGTACAAACTGCTGGTGCCCTTGCTCTGGGAGTGGAATTAAATAAAAAAGCAGTGAAAAGTCACTAGCTAAACTTAAACCCCAATAGTAATGTGTGGCACAAGGTATAGATAACCCTTCTCTCCTGTTATAGCAGCACTTTTATGTTTTTTTATTTAGTGAACCATGTAATGGAAAATTAAATAGTTTCCTTTAAGAAAGCAGGGTCCCCAAGCAGCTTCATTTTGAGTATCTGGATTTAGTTAATTCTTCATTAGACACATCTTTAAAGAAAAAAATCTCTTTTGGACTTTCAAAGCCATAGACCTTATTTAATAAAAATAGCATGAGGGACGTTCATTGTTAGAGTAAATAGATGTCTTTGATAAAGTACCTAGACCTTCTTCCCCTGAACATTAGTTTTAAAAAGTACAGTGGAAAAAAAAAGATGGATAGATAAAATGGTCTCCTGTGGGGGGGTCATCAAGGTAGGTGGGGAACAGACACTGAATGATGACCTAGGAACAGTGTAATGGTGAGGCATCTAAGGAAGGCAACCCAAAGTGGGTCACAGTGAGTACAAATCAGGGTCAGGAAAAGGAGAGTCCCTGCGCAGGGAGGGTCTGGAGAGCAGGAGAGGAGTGGACAGGGCGTTCTGGACGGGCAACAGACCGAGCATCAGCAGAAGGGCGGAACCAAGCACACAGCAACGGGCCAGCGCTCAGCAGCGGGCAAGTGTGGCATGGGGAGGGCAGGCTGGGGAAGGGCTCCATGTGCTACCTAGAGGCGCTTGGCGTCTGTCTCATAGCTAAAGGGGAGCAGCCTCAGGTTTGGGAAGAAAAAGGTGACACACGAAGAGGAGCAGAATACTCATTGGCCTTGAGTGCATATGAAGACAGAGCTGCTCCCACCCGGGGCTACTTTACCCCGCGGGAGCAGACAGAGGACAGAGAGGCCCACGGTCAGAGGGTCAAAATGTGTGTCCAGACAATGGCTCACATGAGTTCTATGTCCCCCAGCAACAGGTTTGGTCAACATCTCATCTCTGGGTGGGTTTGGAATAAATTTTTCTCATGCAGATGATTTCTTATCAAGCAGCATTTTGTATTTTCTAAATAATCTTTTCTGTGGTTATCTTACTGCTGATGTCACGTGGTGGCTTCATTCTAGTGTATGGATTTAGGGGAGGGATTCTTATTTTAGTTTGCCATTTACTAATTTTCAGATACTTTTACTTCCCTAGTCTCTTTATTCCTACTGTTTTCTATTATTTTCCCCATTGTGCTTGAAGTCCTTAATTTTGATTTATAAAATCTTTATTCCATCTATTCCAACATTTTAAATCTGTAATCTTCTAAATTTTGGACCCCATTTTCTTCATATTATATGTACATTTAAAACCTTGCTGCCTCCCACCTTCTCTGTTTACCGTTATTTCATCTTCCCCTTTAACTACAACCTTAAATTGTGTTGTCACTTTACAGCAGTATTATTCAACCTCAGCACTGTTGACATTTTGGGCCCGAAATCTGTATTTCAACAACCAATCCAGGTACCTCTTAGTGTGCTAAAGACAAAAACATACTTGAAAACCAATCTCCAATTTAAGCCCAGTAATCGGAGTACTGAACACACTACACCCTCCTGGTTTCTGGGGCAGCTTTTCCCAGGGGCGCTTTGGCAACAGAGCGGCTCACGGCAGTGAAGGGCTGTCACGAGCAGGAGCCGGACAGCGCTGTCTCGGCAGCGGCACAGCTGCTTCCCAGGCGGCCCTCGGCGTTTCCACGTGTGCTCCTCTCAGGAGCCGCCCGCACAGGCGGGGGGCCACCTGGCTTGTGCTGGGGGGCTTCCTCTAGCCTGCTCTCCCAGACCGCCTCCTGACTGCTCCAACAATTGACCTTTATTCTCATTTTGTTTCAAATTATATGTATACTTATGAACTATGCACTTTTTTGACAAAAGAAGAGGTATACATAAACACATACATAGACCATATGGTGTGATGAGAGTGTTCTGTAGAAAGATACACTTTTTAAAGTGTTTGTAAATGTGTCAGGAACAGAAGGGACAACTGCCAATGTCACCATCATTTAACATGCTTACAACAGTTGTCTCGGGCCCAATCTTAATATTCTTGGTTTTTCCTGCTTTTTCTCCTTGTCATTATAAAATGTGAAGGTGTGATCACTAAACAGGGGAATAAATTAGCACAGCCTTACTAAGCTCAGGTTTCAGTTCTAATTAAAACCCCAAATGCCAGAACAGAGTCCTCACAACAGAACCAGCAAGCATCAATAACGACTAGGTTCACACGAGTCACTTTGGGGGAAGAGTCTAGAAGGTGGTCAATGTGAATCAAAATGATACCTCACTGGGGACTGCTTCCCCCATCACCTTACCAAGACTTATCCAACACTCATATCTTAAGATCCACCTTCCATCCATTTGTGAGTGTCAGTTTACCTCTGATAGCTGTGACCAAATTTAAAGAGAGATTATAGCTCCCCACTAAAGGATTATACAAATTCATCATGCTTCAGCAGTTTGCTTGCTAATCTTCGGACCCCTCCCACTCAAGCCGGGTGCTTGGGCCCTCAGTAGCTCTGTTTGTGTTCCTAAGCAGCTGCCCTTAAATCCTAGCACTAGACCTCAAACCCCAGAAGAAACCTCTTGTCCAGGATGTCACCCTAGTGGAACCAGTAAGAACCAACCGGTTGATCTGTGAGGGGAGCTGGTTTGTCTCTGTGTGTTAATTATGGCCCTCCAGTGATAGCGTCTCCCTTCTTTAGGGGTCGAATGCTCTAATGACCAGGATAGTAAGACCTGCTGGGACAAAGAAGGCTCTTCCTGCCGCAGGGCCCTCTGCCAACCTCCAGCTCCTCTAAGTTGCCCCTGTGAGCTCCTGCTTGCTCTGGCCCCTGGAATACTTACATGGGTACGGAACCTTAAACCACGGGGCGACCAGCAGCACACCCTGCCTGGCATCTGTCCGAGCATAGAAGCCATACTTTGCACTGTCAGGAGGGAAGACATCTGTCACTGTGAAGATGAAGCAGAGCAGCCAGGACACAAGGATGGCCAGGATGATCTGAAGTGGTCCAAAAAAAAAGTCTGTCAGGCTACGGGGGTGGTGGTTGCTGGCAAAACACATGCCTTTCTGCAGCCTCAGTACCACACCACAGAACCCACCACTGTCAGTGCTGCACTCAAATAACCCGTAACAGATCTGCTGAAAACCTATTCCCTGAATGGAATCACATTTAGGGAGAGCAGTTTTATGCAGCTAAAGTTACTTTAACCCTAAGTCTGGCTAGTAAAACACAGAAAATGGGCAAGGTGCCTGCAGAGCTCTCCCAGTCCCAGGATTAGTCTATCACCCCCAAAGGATTTCAGAATCAGAAGCTTCTACCACTTTAACTTGAAATCCATAACAATTTGGGTGGTCCTTAGTACCCCAATGGCACGACATAAACATAGTTCCCCCCCCCAACCCCCGGTAAACACTTTACATAATGAACTAAGGGCAATATGGTCAGGAGAAAAAAATATAACTACTTACAGGGAACATTTTGAAAAGCTGCAACTTGTAGGCAGTCCATCCTTTCTTGGATTTGTAAATTGGGAGAGGAAATTTAACATTTCTGGCATATTGAGAAAACAGTAATACTAGGAAAATTGTCCTGAGGAGAAAAAGAAAATAAACAAGTTTAAAAGCTGTTTGTCTGCATTTTAAAATATTACTCAAAGCTTTAATGGCAAAGTGGTCGCATGTGTTCAACTCACTTCTCTAGAAAGCTGCTAGTCCTCTTAACTATTACCTGGGAAATCATATCTTTTGTAAATGCCATTTTTGCAAAAAATATTAGAACTTTTTTTCTTAGCACTTCTTGATGCAGAAATGAAAGTTACCATAATATAAATGTTTTGGCTAAACTTCCCGTAATAGAATAAGAAAACCCAAAGGATATACACACTGATGGGAAAAGCCATGCTCTGTAAGAGAAAAAGACAAGCTGCCAGATACAACATAGAGCACTGTATAGTTACAACTACAAATTAACCAAAAACAAGCAACTACTGCACAAGTGCACGTGTACACACATCACACATACGCACACATATATGTGCAAACGGTAAAGATGGGATCCAAAATGCTCACAGGAATTGGCCTCAAGTGGTGATATAATACGCAACTTTCTTCTACTTTTCTATATTTTTTGATTTACTTATAAAGAGCTTAAATTACTTTTAAAAAGCAAAAAGCTTCAATATTTAAGAAAGGTATATACAGCAGAATACAACACCAATAACATCCCTGAGGTTTGTGTGTCACACATTACATGAAGGTCTTCCCACCCATCACCTCGGCCTTCGCAGTGGCTTCTGTGATCATCCACTTTAGAGAAACAGCCTGTGGTCCAAGATCATGTAGCTAGAGTTTGCAGGGTGAGTGGGCCAGAGGGCTAGCCCTACAGTCTGGACTCCAAACCACTTTGCAACATGGGTCCTAAGGGCTGGGATGTCTGGGCTGGCTCTGAAGTCCCTTTACCCTGAGCCTACACTTCTGACCCAGCTGCAGCAAGGGCTACAGCAGGCAGTGATGGCAGGTGACTTCCCTGAAGCAGGATCTGACACATCCTCATCAGTTCAGTGCCGAGTGTGGCGGATGTGGGATGGACTCCCATTGCTGAAACAAGAAAGGCATACAATGATGTGTTTCATCACCCATTGGGACACACTCTTTCACTTACAACTGAAGGTAGAATTGGCAGAAGAGTGGATTCTCTGTCAAAGCTAAGCCTAATTGTTCCCAGGCACAGTTCCAACTGCTGAGAAGGAATTATCAGCTCCACTGACAGCAGGTCAAGTGCAGTTTCACTGTCACATGCCTAATGAAGTGCAGACTGCGGCCAGCTGGAGAACAGGCCTGTGCTGCTCCACTGCCTCCCCACCTCTCGGGCGCTTTGCTGGCCTGGTGACGGGGGTCTCTGCCCCACCACAAAGTCAGTACCAGTTCAAGGTTAAAAACACGCACAGTGCTCAAGTGATTCCAATTTCCCTGGGATGATGAAGTTCACCAACAATAACAAAAACAGCGTAACAATGAGAGAGACTAAAACTGATTTAAACATAGACCAACATCAAATTTTCATGTCTTAAAAAATGCTATTGAACTTCTGGTAAATGTGGAAGTGTAGCTGACACGCTTTACCTCCTCACGCAACCACAGAAAGGATTACAACTAAATCTCAAAACAACACCCAGAACTGCCAGAAAATCAAACTGTAGGAAGTCCGACAACCAGGGATTCAAAGAAGTCACATTCATCCTGATGGGTAGGAGGGGTGGAGACGAGGAAATGGACAGAGATGAGGAAATGTGGTATGGCGAGGAGAGGCGGCAGCAGAATGGACACAGGCAGTCCCACATTCCCGTGTGGTGGATAAAAATCAAGAGGGATACCTTGGTAGAAGACAGTGATCCCAACCCCAGGCCAGACCGCACAACACAGGGTTCCAACAACGGGAAGATAAACTCTCATAACTTGTGGCTATAAAAATCAGTGGGGATTGAGGTGGCAGAAGAAACTGCTGGATTTTCAGGAATCTCCACTTCAAAGGGCCTGCACAGTCTTAGAACATGCACAAACCCACCCACTCTGGGGTTTAGCACCAGGGCCACACGTGGAAAGGCACGAGTCATATACGGGGAGTGGGTGAAGTGACTGGAAACGGGGTCAGTGCCGAGCAATCTCCACAGGCCAGGCAGCAGCAGAGCCCCCTCTCGGAGCCCATCCCCCACACAGAGACACAAAGCAGTGAAGCAGGTTGCTTCATTACCTAAGCAACTGTCCCACACAGTTTACAGGTGCCTTTTCTGCAAAAGGCCACACTACTAAGACAGGGAGCAAAAGCAGCTCTACCTGATACACAGAAACAAACACAGGGAGGCCGCCGAATTGAGGAGACAAAGAAATATGGCCCAAATGAAAGAACTGAACAAAACCCTAGAAAAAGAACCAAACAAAATAGAGATAACTAACCTAGAAGTTGCAGAGTTCAAAACACTGGTGGATCAGGATGCTCAAAGAACTCACTGAGCATAGCAACAACATAAAGGAAGAAATGAAGGTTTCATGAAGTGAAATAAAAAAAAATCTATAGGGAACCAACAGTGAAGGGAAGGAAGCCAGGATTCAAATCAACAATTTGAAACATAAGGAAGAAATAAACGATCAACCAGAACAGAAAGAAGAAACAAGAATTCAAAAAAAAATGAGGACAGTATAAAAAGACTCTGGGACATCTTCAAATGTGCCAACATCTGAATCATAGGGATGCCAGAAGGAGAAGAGGAAGAGAAAATAATTGAAAACTTACTTGGAAAAAAAAAAAAAAGAAAGAAAACTTCCCTAATTTGGCAATGGAAATAGACATACAAGTCCAGGAGGCACAGAGAGTTGCAAACAAGTTGGACCCAAAGGGGACCACACCAAGATACATCATTATTAAAATGCCAAAGGTCAGAGATAAAGAATCTTAAAAGCAGCAGGAGAAAAAGAGAGTTACCTACAATGGAGTTCCCATAAGACTATCAGCGGATTTCTCTAAAGAAACTGCAGGCAAGAAGAGACTGGTAAGAAGTATTCAAAGTGATGAAAAGCAAGGACCTACAACCTAGATTACTCTATCCAGCAAAGCTATCATTTGGACTGAAGGGCAGATAAAGTGCTTCTCAGACAAGGTAAAGCTAAAGGAGTTCATTATCACCAAGCCATTATTACAAGAAATGTTAAAGGGACTTATCTAAGAAAAGAAGATCAAAACTATGAACATTAAAAGGGCAACAACTTCACAACTATCAACTGAAATAAAATTAAAAAAGAAACACCTAAGCAAACAGCCATAACAGGAACAGAATCATAGAGACAGATACCATTTGGAGGTTATCAGGTCAGAGGGGGAAGGGGGAGAATGAGGACAAAGGTGCAGGGAATAAGCAGCATAAATGGTTGGTACAAAATAGACAGGGGGGCGTTAAGAACAGTATAGGAAATGGAGAAGCCAAAGAACGTATATGCACGATCCATGGACATGAAACTGGGGGGGAGAGGGGATTGCTGGAGGGAAGGGGGTATGAATGGGAGGGGGCAAAGGGGAAAAAATTGGTGCAACTGTAATAGCACAATCAATAAAATATGGATAAAAATGCCAATTGATTTATTTTAAAGTAAACACTCTGAGATCCAAAAAGACCCCAAGTCTTCTATTATTATCATTATTTCAGGTGACAACCCACCTGACAATTACACGTGGTCTGTGACGGTCACTTTTCCAAGCACATTTAAAAATGAATGAGGGATATACACAAAACTCAGGGAAGGACATCCAGGTATCAGGCCCAACTCTGGCAGCACAAATTAAGTGAGTGGGCTGGGCAGATGAGCACTTCATTTTCTTCCCACTCTAATATCCATCTGTTTCAAATTCATGTTCACCCTCAAATATACCATATTTTGCTGTGTATAATGCACACATTTTTGCCCAAATTTTTGAGGGAAAAATAAGGATGTGCATTATACATGGGTACTGCTACTTCCCTATCTATATAAATGTTTTTAATTCTTTTTAAAATTTCTTGTACTTTGTATCTGTTCTTGTGTTTTGTGATTACTGTTACGTAAAATTTCTTGTACCATAATGTGTTCAAAAACAAATGCTAAAATTTCTTTATAATACAAATAAACAAGTATCTAAATATAAATAAATAAATAATTGAATTAAAAAATTAAAACAAATTTTCTCCTGAAAGTTTGGGCCCAAAATGTGGGTGCGCACGATACATGGGAATGCATTATACATGGCAATATGAGCTGTCTGTGGGGCAGGTGGGGCAGGCAGTCCCACAGAAGAGGCAGGAGATGGGGGATGTGCCAAGGTTTACACACTTTGGCTGAGCAGAAAAGGGACAAGGATCTGAGGCCCAGATCCTCAGACCAGGGTTCTGTCCACCACAGCTAACTAGCTCTTTCCACTTCATATTTACATATGGCTTGCTGGCTGACCTTTCTTTTACCTTACAAATATTCAAGAAATACATACTAAAATGCAGGAAAATTATAGAAGAAAGAGAAGCAAAAAAAGACAAAATCCTCAAGATCAACTAACTCATCATCCTACCACTGGCGACAACCCTGCAGCACTCTGGTCTGTGATTCCAAACAGCTCCCACTCTTGGGATTTTTATGGGTCATCCTGGGATTAGAGAGGGAGACAAGACTGCCTGTCGTCATCCTTGCCCTCGGAGCACAAACAGGTCATCATCTGACCCAAAGTGTAATTGCGCTTTACATGCCGCTTCCCAACCAGCTTGTAGCCCCTATTAATGCCATGACCTCGACAGGTGGAGATCTGCACCAGCATCTTACTGGCGGCTCCGCATTCCGTCCTACAGACGTAGCACATCCTAACAATTCCCATACAGTGCGACACTGGGAGCAACAGAAACCGTGAAGCACTGCCGGTCCCTGGTCCCTGGCACCTGCCTGAGTATCTCCCGATGATAAGTTCCTAGGTCTATCACAGATCTATCAAACAGTAAGTAACTTACTTAAAAGCTTCTGAAACAAACTGCCAAATATGTAGAGAAAGGTTGGGTAAATGTACAGGGGCCAAGAACA